ACCACGCAAGGGGCTCCTGGCTCCCTCCCTGCCTCACCTCTGCTCTCTTCCCATGGCCTAGATGTGGAGCAGATGGCTATTGACTGGCTCACGGGCAACTTCTACTTCGTGGATGACATCGATGACAGGATCTTTGTCTGCAACAAGAATGGGGTCACCTGCGTCACGCTGCTGGACCTGGAGCTGTACAACCCCAAGGGAATAGCGCTGGACCCGGCGATGGGGTAAGAGTCCTGCCTGGGGGTGCGAGGGCTCAGTGTTGCTGCCTGGACCTGCACCATCAGGCTGGGGAGGTGGAGCAGGTCAGGGAGGTCCGGCTGCTGCATCCCGGGGGAGCCGCATCCAGGGGTAGCCGGGATGCTGATGGACAAGCGACTTCCCAGCTTATGAGGGCCCCGGATGGACCTGGCCAGGCTCAGGACAAGCTGCTGCTTCCAGGCTGTGGCTGCGTGGTCACAGCTTTGCTTTCAGGAACCGAAACAGTCGGATCCTTGCACGGGCTGAGCAGCTCCCCTCGTGCTGCGGTCAGATGACAGCTCCCCTTTGCAAATCCCACATGGGGAAGTTGGGATGCTGAATCACAGGAGCAGCGAAGGGGACATCTCCCCCTCTCCTGCTGCTTTCCAGATGGGTGCTCTTATACTTGCGTGAGTGAAGAGAGATGATGTTATTGAGCAGGATATTTGTTTTTATACACAAATATCACATAGCAGCCTGGAGGGAGACTCTGGCCTTGAACAGGGGAGGTCCCCGGCCACCCTTGTGCCCACAGCAGCACTCCCATGTCTGCAGGCCATGTACATGGTGCATCCTCCCTCTCTGAACATGACATCCGGGCTCTGAGCTCCTGTGTTTGCCATTCTCACGCAGCAAAGTGTTCTTCACCGACTACGGGCAGATCCCCAAGGTGGAGCGCTGCGACATGGATGGGCAGAACCGCACCAAGCTGGTGGACAGCAAGATCGTCTTCCCACACGGCATCACCTTGGACCTGGTGAACCGGCTGGGGGGACGGGGAAATGGTGAACCGGCTGGTGTACCGGGCTGACGCCTACCTTGACTATATTGAGGTGGTGGACTATGAAGGCAAGAACAGACATACCATCATCCAGGGCATCCTGGTGAGTGGGGCCAGGGGGAGGTCGGGGTCTGGCAGTGGAGTGTGCTGGGCGGTGTGTCTGTTAGGTATTTAGGTTAGCTGTAAGGAAGAAGTTCTTTACCGTGAGGGTGGTGAGGTGCTGGAATGGGTTGAACGGAGAAGTGGTAAATGCTCCATCCCTGGCAGTGTTCGAGGCCAGGTTGGACGGAGCCTTGGGAGACATGGTTTAGTGTGTGGTGTCCCTGCCCATGGCGTTGGAACTGAATGATCTTAAGGTCCTTTCCAACCCAAACCATTCTATGATTCTGTGTCTGAGCTTGGCCTGAGGAGGCAGGGGCATGGGCCATAGGGCAGGATGAGGGGCTTTGCGCGTGCCTCCTCCATCGTTCCTTGTGGCTGCCTTCCAGATTGAGCACCTCTATGGGCTGACTGTCTTTGAGAACTACCTCTATGCCACCAACTCCGACAACGCCAACGCCCAGCAGAAAACCAGCGTCATCCGCGTCAACCGCTTCAACAGCACCGAGTACCAAGTGGTGACGCGGGTGGACAAGGGGGGGGCGCTGCACATCTACCACCAGCGGCGCCAGCCCACAGGTAGGACCCCAGCCTGGGGGGACGCAGCTTCTTGGGATCCCAGGGGCTGGGGGGGGTGATGGGGACAAGCTGCACCTTCTGCTTAATGGGGCCAAGCACCCAGGAGGGGTCCACTCGCCCGGGAGCCTCTTGCTGGGCTGCCGAACCCCCCAGGGTGCCCCTGGCCCCTGCTATTGCTCTGTCGCATCCCCATGCGCTGGTAGGAGGTGCTGGCTGTGCCCATGCACCTCTCGCTGCTCTGTGTTGCAGTGAGGAGCCATGCCTGCGAGCCTGACCAGTTTGGCAAGCCGGGAGGCTGCTCCGATATCTGCCTCCTTGGGAACAGCCACAAGACCCGGACCTGCCGGTGCCGCTCCGGGTTCAGCCTGGGCAGCGATGGGAAGTCCTGCAAAAGTGAGTCCTGGAGGGCAAGCGGAGCTCTGCGATTCCTTCCCTCCCGTTTGCAAACACCCCTTTCCTTCCTGGCCTAAGCCATGGGCTGCCCGTCGGGCTCTGTGGTACCTGCAGACCCACACTGGGCTGCCCTGGCCGGGCTGGTGGTGATGGCTCTCCCCATCTCCCTGCAGAGCCTGAGCATGAGCTGTTCCTGGTGTATGGGAAGGGGCGTCCAGGCATCATCCGTGGGATGGACATGGGGGCCAAGGTGCCGGACGAGCACATGATCCCCATCGAGAACCTTATGAACCCCCGTGCTCTGGACTTCCATGCTGAGACAGGCTTCATCTACTTTGCCGACACCACCAGCTACCTCATCGGGCGCCAGAAGATCGACGGCACGGAGCGAGAGACCATCCTGAAGGATGGTGAGTGGCTGAGGGGCCCAACCTGGTCCCTCCCCAGCACAGTCAGACCCCAGGAGCTGGCAACAACACTTCCTCCTATGTAGTGGCAGCGCTACTGCCCAGCTGGGGTTTGGAGCTGCTGTTTGGGTTTGTCTGGAGACTGCTCTTGAGAGACAGGTACAGAGCACGTGCCCCAGCAGAGGTGGGAGAGGGACCCCTGTCCCTGGATGTCCCCCTCCCCATCAGGTCAGACGGGAGGGATCCTCAGTCGTAGTCCCTGAGGGTCAGTGCGGTGGCCGCTCCATCCCCACGCTGCCACAGCTGAGTTCGTTTGTGTGGCCTTGGGGCAAACCAGCCAAGGATGCTCCCAAACTGGGCTTTTTCCAGCGCAGTCCACTGGGACTTCTGTACCTCTGTGGGGGCTGCCTGCACTGGGGCTGGGGGGGTGTCTGTCATCCCTGTTGCTTTGAGTTGGGATCCGGTGGTGCCCAGTACGAGTTGATCATATGGGGCTGTTGGTTCCGCTTCTTGCCCTGGTGATGGGCGCCTGTTCCTGCTTCTCCCGAAAGGCATCCACAACGTGGAAGGGATTGCTGTGGACTGGATGGGGAACAACCTGTACTGGACGGATGATGGCCCCAAAAAGACCATCAGTGTGGCTCGGCTAGAGAAGGCTGCCCAGACACGGAAAACACTGATTGAGGGGAAGATGACCCATCCCCGTGCGATCGTGGTGGACCCCCTGAACGGGTGCGGGTGCCTGGGAGAGCTCTTGGGCTGTTGCATTGGGCTGGGACCCATCTATGGGCACAGGACCCCTCCACAGCTCTGTGCCAGCCTCTCTGATCAGTGTGCTCTAACAGCTGTGTGGCTGTGGCAGGTGGATGTACTGGACGGACTGGGAGGAGGATCCGAAGGACAGCAAGAGGGGCAAGATCGAGAGAGCCTGGATGGATGGTTCCAACCGCAACGTCTTCATCACCTCCAAGACTGTCCTGTGGCCCAATGGGCTGAGCCTGGACATCCCGGCCAAGATCCTTTACTGGGTGGATGCTTTCTATGACCGCATCGAGATGGTCTATCTCAACGGCACTGAGCGGAAGGCAAGTGGAGGCTCTCAGGCACTGGGGCCGTGGGCAGCTGAGCCGTTGCATCAGCTGGCTGCACCCACTGCATCCATGGCCGCGTTCAGCCGTGCTCCCTGCTGCCTGTCCCCTCCAATGTCCTTTGCCCTGTCCCACCATGTGGGCCCCTCCATCTCCTGCACCTGCAGATCGTGTACGAGGGACCGGAGCTGAATCACGCCTTCGGGCTGTGCCACTACAGCAACTTCCTCTTCTGGACCGAGTACCGCAGCGGCAGCATCTACCGCCTGGACCAGGCCTCCAAGGTGGGACATGTTACAGAGTGACCACAGATCTGCTGAATCCCAAGGGATCTCTAACAGGCTTATTGGGGTGAATCATAGGATGGGTTGGGTTGGAAAGGACCTTAAGGTCATCCAGTTCCAACCCCCTGCCATGGGCAGGGAGGGACACCTCGCACTAGACTATGTTGCCCAAGGCTCTGTCCAACCTGGCCTTGAACGCTGACTGGAATGGAGCATTCACCACTTCTTTGGCCAACCTATTCCAGTGCCTCACTGTCTGCGTGGTGATGTGGGGACCTGCCCCACAGGAGGAGATGGGGGGCTGGAGACTGGGGGCTGCCCCATCTAAGCAGCCTTCCACCCCTTTTTGCTTCCTTTTGGCCGTATCGCTGCCTGTATGTCCATCGCCATGCACCCTGTGTTTCTCTGTTGCTCATCCCCTGCCCTTCCAGCCTTTTCTCTCTTTCTCCCTTTCCCTCCCTTCCTTCCCTGGCTAGTTCAGCCTGAGGGGTCCCTTCTGCCTTGCGTGATGAACTGGGGTCTCCAGCTGGGTTCTAGTTGTGCAGCCCGTTGAAGGAGTCCTGGGGTTAGGTTTTGGGTTAGGTGTCCTGTTAGGAGCCCAGCACTGGAGTCCCCTTCTCACCCCTACTTTGCCTCCACAGTGGGCTCCAACAAGTGCCGTGTCAACAACGGTGGCTGCAGCAGCTTGTGCCTGGCCACCCCGCGGGGCCGGCAGTGTGCCTGCGCCGAGGACCAGGTCCTGGGGCCGGACACTGTGACCTGCCAGGGTAAGCTGCCAGCGGGGGAGACCCACGGTGGCTTCTCTGTGCAGGACCTGCCTGATGCTGCGTGAGGGGGAGAGTTGGGTTCTAGACAGTGCCATGCTTTGCTGGCTCAGAGGAGAGGGGTGAAGCTGTGCTGGTGCCCCTTCCATTGTGTGCTCTGTGCACATGGGCACCAGTGCCTCTCGGAGCTGCTGGGCACTCATGTCAGTGTCCTGCCAGCGTGGGGACACAGGACTGTCCTTCTGCTGCCCTGCACTGCGTTAAAATCATCCCTCCCTTTGCTTTTCCCTTGCCAGCCAACCCGTCCTACATCCCCCCTCCGCAGTGCCAGCCCGGGGAGTTCGCCTGCAAGAACAACCGCTGCATCCAGGAGCGCTGGAAGTGTGATGGGGACAATGACTGCTTGGACAACAGCGATGAAGCCCCGGAGCTCTGCCGTGCGTAGCTGCCTCCTGCGCGGTGGGGTCGTGGTTTGTGTGCTCCTGGGGCAGCAGGATGCGGGTTAAGCTTCCCCTAGATGTGGGGCGGGTGGCTGGGATGGGGTTGGGCAGCCAGGACCTCTGGGAGAGGAGCAGGCTCAAGCAGTTGAGGGAGGAAATGCTGATGAGGATCCCTAGATCCCTGCCTTCTTCTGCCTCAGTTCTTCTCTCCAGCAGATGTGGAAGGGAATGGGGTGGGATGAAGGGCAGGTCCTGAGTGTGTGTGTCCCCTGCAGACCAGCACACATGCCCCTCTGACCGCTTCAAATGCAAGAACAACCGCTGCATCCCCAACCGCTGGCTCTGCGATGGGGACAACGACTGCGGGAACAACGAGGACGAGTCCAACTCCACGTGCTCAGGTGAGGAGCCTGCCTCATCCTTAGGGAGCAGCAGGAGAGTTCACATTGCTGTGCTGACCCACAGTCTTCATGGAACACAGCGTGCTCTCCGCTTTGCAGCCAGTTCTGCCTCACAGGAGGGTTTGTTCCCACCTTTCTCCTTGCAAAGCTACTAAAGCTCTGTCTCTGTTCCCTGGGCCAGCTCGGACCTGCTCCCCCAACCAGTTCTCCTGTGCCAGTGGTCGCTGCATCCCCATCTCCTGGACGTGTGACCTGGACGATGACTGTGGGGACCGCTCGGATGAGTCTGCCTCATGTGGTGAGCACCCTTTGGGGATGCGAGGGGCTGGGGTGCAGGGTGTCACACACACACTGATGGTGCTTCTGCCTCCTCCACAGCCTACCCGACCTGCTTCCCCTTGACGCAGTTCACCTGCAACAACGGGCGCTGCATCAACATCAACTGGCGCTGCGACAACGGTGAGGAGCCGCTGCCCTGCTGCTGCCGAGGGCACGGCGAGATCAGACGCAGGGGTGCCAGCCCTGGTCCTGCAAGGGCCCACTTGAACAGCAGAGCCCATGCCCTGAAGGGGAGGAGGCATTAGCTGAAGCTGGAACCTCATCCCGCATCCCTGAGATGCTCGTTTTCCTTGGCTGCCCTTGGGTGCCGCAGGAACAGCCTGGCAGGGATCATTGCAGCAGATCTTGGTGTTCTTTGCAAAATGGCCAAAGCTCTGCCCCAGTGTTTGAGATGAGCGTGGAGCAGCCTGTGCTGCTCAGCCAGAGCCTGTAGCCCCAGGGAAGGCAGGAGCGGTCTCCCAGTGAGCTCACATCTGGCCTCACATCTGCTTCCAAGGCCAGGCTGGGAGAAAGGGTTTGCCCCAAGGCTGCTTTCCTTCCCTACAGGTTTATTCCAGCAGCTCTGCATCGTTAGGTTTAATTAGTGGCTTCAGAGCAGGCGAGAACCATTCTGAGCTGCAGCATGCTGGGGGTCAGCAGGGAGCTGCATGGGCAGCCCCAGCTCTGAGCCACCCCAGGAGCCATAGGAACCAATGCCTGGAGCATCCCACCGGGCGCCTGCATCTGGTCTCGCCTCCCCAGGCCGCTCGGGTGCCTGCACAGCCCCTCTGTGTGTGTCCCTCTTCCATGTCAGTGTTCACGTCCCAGTGTCAGCGCTGGTTTTGTGCCGCCCCCCTGTGCGTGTGCTGTTGGTGTTTCGTTTGTCATTGTGCCCACTCTCCTGTCTTGGTTGGTTCTGTATTTCAGAAAAAGATTGTGGGGATGGCTCTGACGAAAAGAACTGTCCAAAGCCTACCGGTTAGTGCATAGATCAACATGCACCAGAACCCCCCAGCCTGGCCCCACGCAACCTCCAAACCTGCCCCCTCCATGGGCTCCAGCCACTGGTGGTGCCCCTGTGCCGGGTACCAGGGAGCAAAGCTGCAGGAGCTGTGGCTGGTGAAGCTACACAGCATCACCAGTGCCATCATCCCTGTGCCCATCATGAGCTCCCCTGTGCAGGGGAGACAAAGGCACCGGGAGGCAAAGGCCCTTTCCCAAGCCCATGCAAGGCATCTGCCAGGGAGCAGAGCCGCAGTAAGCCAGGCCGGTCCCATGCCTTGTGCAGGACAGGCAGAGGGGCTGCGTTGCCAGTGTCCAGCA